CCCCCGGGCCAGCCCCGCCTCCCGCTCTTCTTACTCGTCGGCTGCGTGGCTCAGTCGGCGCGGCTCGTGATGGAGCTCCATCCCGCAGCAGGTCTGCACGCACACCAGCGGACCCCGCTTGATCTGCGCTAAAAGCGGCCCCTCCGCCACAAGGACTTCTTTCATTCATCTTTCAACTTCTGCTTTTTTTCTTACTCTCCATGTTTGTTCGAGGGGGGCACTACGACCATTGGTTTTACAACATAAAACAGCACGTTTCCCTGGTTGTTTAGCGACGTTTTGTTTATCTGTAGCGAGCATAATAAGAGCTTTTGTGATCGTTTTTCGGAGGGGGAGTAATAAGAGCCTTTTGGAGAGTAACAAGATTTTCTTGGAGCGTAATACGAGCTTTTTGGGTCGTTAAACACACCGCTGGTAGGTTCATCGAGTCAGCTATGTGGCCCCTTTGGCCCCACCGACGTGCTTGTCTGAGGTGAGGGGACATAAAGACGTGAGCTGCCAGGTGAGGTGAGCTTATCATGGGCTGAGTTCTTTTTATTCCCCGAAGGCTGGGCACTGAGGACTGCACACATATTTTTTTTTTGATTATCTACGTTCTATTATCTCAATTTTAAGTGTTCGATTGATCATTTCCAGGGAGTTCGTGCTAGCCTAGATTAACTTGCTCGAGGCAAGTTGTAAATTTTCTTGTGTGTGTGTGTGCGTGTTGTTTTTTTAAACACTGGAGTTTCGTCATAAGTCGTTCAACAGCTATTACTTTTTTTTCAATGACAGCTGTCACTTTTTTTGCGGTTTCATGATTAAGTAACCGTGTGTAATTGTCGCTTTGTGATTTGTCGTTGAGTCTAGCCTATTTTTTTAAATGTGCTTTGGGGGAGAAGTATTTGTTTATCGTGGTGGCTTTAACTCTGACGCACGCGTTCACGACCAGGGTTTAGTATTGCCTTTTCGTTGCAGTCTCCCTTCCCTTTTGGAGTTTTTTTTTTTCACCCCACAGTCTCACTGCCCCCTCGGCCGTTCAGGGACTCTCTCTCCCCCAGCCTCTCTTCGGACAATGTGGCTGTCTCGTTTGGCTCTGCTGCTCCTTCTCCGGCTGTCCGTCGCGCTGGTCAAGGGCATCAACACTTGTGCCTTCATCAATTTGGACGAGCAGAAGTCGCGGCGCATCGAGGCGGTGCGCGGGCAGATTCTCAGCAAGCTGCGCATCCAGAGCCCGCCGGAAGACGACGACGAGGCGAGGGCGACGGCGGCCGGCGGCGGCGCGGTCCCCGCGGAGGTCATGTTGCTGTACAACAGCACTCGGGAGCTGCTGAAGGAGAGAGCGCGTCTCGCCGACTCGACGTGCGAGCGGGAAAGCAGCGAGGAGGACTACTACGCAAAAGAAGTGCAGAGGATTGACATGCTGCCGCAGCGTACCCAAACTAGTGAGTCACTTTGTTCAAATCATGTATTATTGTTCTCTTTCTATGCCAGCGACTTATAGTGACAGATCGAATAGTTATAAATGCTCTTCCGCTAGATAGCAAACGGCCCACTTCACCTGCGTATCCACTTCAGTGTGTCCAAATCCAGAAAACAGGTGATCCGTGACGTTCACAATGTGAGCCTGTGGGAACTTTGACGTCAATTTCAGTCTACAGCAGGGGGTGGTGCTGCATAAAACGTTAGCCTCAATGGATGGTTGAAAACGGGTGGTTATTCCTTTTAATTCTTTTTAACTAATGACTCAGTAAGCTGCAGTAATATTACTTTTTTAAGGTAAAAAATATACAGTTAACCACTGCTATTCGTGGGGGATGGGGATTGAATGCAACCGAATGTTAAAAACTTCCGGATAATTGACACACTTTCATAATTGCCACGAAGGAAAAGAAAGTAGAAAAAAATATATGAATGAGTGTATGTGTATGTGGTGGTGGGGGGGGGGGGGGGAAAAAAAAAAGTATATGTTTGCAAAGGCCGAACTGTGATTATGTGGAGGTCCATTGTATGCTGGTTAGTATTATTAATATTGTCTGTCTATATGTTTTGCTGCACCCTATGTGCTCAAATATAATTGTCTTAAAGGATCATAACTATGGCAATATAAATTCTAATTTCATTAGCCCATCTAAAGCGTTTTGCACTGCACGTATGCATTGAGATAGCTTTTATAATTTATGTGTTTTGGTGAAACACATAACATGCAATCCCTGGCAATAAACAGGGACCACCAACCTTTTTGAAACTGAGACCTACTTCTTGGGTATTGACTAATGCAAAGGGCTACCACATTCATACACACTTATAAAATAGCGCATTTGCTGTAATTCCTTTCACTCTAAATTGTATGAAGATATTAATCATGTTAATGATGTCTGAATTATCAACACTGAGTAGCAAAGAGATAAATATCAATATCAACACTTTATTTAGTAGGCTACTCGTGTGGTATCTGTGGGCTACCTGGTGCCCCCCCAGCATCATATTGCTGACACCCACTGTATGTCTTCAACTAGCTAAATCATTAGTTTTCTGGCCATTTGTTGCTCGGCAGAATTCGTGCAGCACAATTCTACAGCATAGGCCCTGTCCATTAGGCTGGATTGCAGGAAGAGGAAGTCACCCAAACGCCTCAAGTGTTATGAGTCCATTTTAAACCTTATTAACTATATGGACTTGGACAATAGCGGAAAACCTTTGATTTGGTGACTGACCCTTGCAATCAACTTGCCGCAACAAAAAATTGTGAGCCCTGGCATTTTTAATCCATCAGCAACATTTTTAAGAGCCACCTTCAGGAAACGGGCACAGGGAAAGGAGAGACTATGAATAAAAATGTTAACACGACAATAAGGGGTGATTTTCAGTCAACGTATGTGCACGCCATCATTCAAAAATTTCTCTTTCTTTCTTCTTTCCAGTTCGGCATTTTTAAATTTCTTGAACTTTGATTGGCCGCAACAATTTATACTCTGGCATTGTGACATCGAACCCTGCATGCTTGCCTCTCTTGCTCTCTCTCTCTGTCTCTGTCTCTCTCTGTACTGCAAACTTGAAGATGGTTATACTGTTATACCGTAAAGGGGACTTATTATACATATGCAAATTAAACCAGTTCCCAAAATGAAGTGTCTGAATAACATTTCTGTGGCACGCTTTTGTCAAAATACCCCAAGGTTCGGGTCCTCACCCTGTGTCCTTAAGCGTTGGGTCCATGCCAGCTTTCGTTACCACAGCGACAAGCTAGCGGGTGGATATTTATTGAGCCCCGAGACTGAAAAAGCAACTGCCAACTGCATAAGTGCATGCAAGCCTCCATAATGACAGCATCGGCACTTGACCACCAAGCTGCTGAGTCAAACTAGTCAATTAGTGCAGTGGTAGCAACTATTTGGACGTAAGCAATTAAATGTAAAGGAGTTGTCTTCATAAGATACTGAAGCTAATCTTCACAGCTCGTTAATCGAGACAGTGAACCCTCATTTATCGCAGGGGTTACGTTCCAAAAAGAACCCGCGATAGGCGAAATCCGTGAAGTAGTAAGCGTAACTGCTCCGAAAGTTTTTTTTCTTAGTTTAGAAAGACTTGACGAGTCGACCATTGTTCAGCAGCTTTTATTGTCCACACATGACAAAAATATACAATGACACAATGTACAACATACCCACACTCATCTCGACATAAAACACACATTTAGTCACGGCGACATCCCGTTTCACCTTCTAAACAGGAATTTAGGAGTAATCAGAAGAAATCGAAGCTCTTGTCGTATACACGTTACGCTTTCCTCAAACCGTCAAACTCCTAAAATCGACATTAACCACTTCCTGCCACTCAATGCAACCCTCAAATATAACAGCAGGGGGCACAATAACCTAAATAAATGTGTAGTCTTTAGCAAATAACATATATTGTGGATTTACCATCATGTAGGTACATGATGTTAACATGACCTTGAACTTAGAATCATGACAGTTATAGTCACCTTTATTTTTTAATAAATATTACACAATACAATGCTGTAGTATAGAATGAAACCAAAGATCAAAATCTGCTTTTGTTGCAAACGTAAACTTGGCAAGCTGTACAGAGAAGAGGCGCAGAGACTGATGACATTGGTTGACAGATTGTTAGCCTATCAGGATGCAGACCACAATGCACTGTTTAAAAAAACTAAACAAAAAAACTGCACTATAAAAATCTGTGAAACAGCGAAGCCGTGAAGCGCGTTATAGTGATGGTTCACTGTATACTATTGTAGTCAGGGTGAGTTTCCCTTCTAACCAGATAAATATATTCTTTTTCCTCGCCAAAAACATGTGATATCCCCGTTTTTTTTTTTTGTTTTGTTTTGTTTTTTTAATGGCATTTCCATTCATTTCAGTGGGGGGAAAAAAACCACATCATATCCCATTGGACATCTCCAGGATATTCCATGACCCAACTAGATGTAAATGCAATCGTAGTAACCAAAACGAACAGATGTCAAAACGAAATCTCCCGGGGATATGGCCGACAGATAAGATATACATCTAACAATGTATAATTAAGCAACATATCATTTCATTCTATGTATGGCGAAGATAAAAGCAGACAAAAAAAAAAAAAAACATTCCTGACATCGAACTGAAGGGGCATTTGTGCGGATTATATTTAAACTGTATTTGTGCCCTACCTTTGATTTAGGCACACGTGTGGCATCAAGGTTGAAAAGTCACTGACTGTGCGTCTGCTTTCTCCAGACATCACGTCAGCGGTGGCCGTGCGACTGAAATGTTATGAAATGCCAGGCTATGAATGAAAGAAACACGCACGCTGGCATCGGAGGAATATTCTGGTTATGTAATCCCGGCACTGCGTCCAGTGTGACAATGGCCGAAGTTGCGCGAAGGCGTTGACTTACTTTCCAAAACCTCTCATTTTGATTTTCATCACCACTCATTATGGACTGTCCAGTGACTTGAACAGCAGCTGAAACGCTCTGCGTGAGCGAGCAGGCAGGCGCATAGCATTGTCATTGTGTCATTTTATTCCCCCCTCCTACAGACGCGGTGCAGCCGTTGCCACTGGACCCGCATTACAGGAGCGTCCTGTTTGACGTGAGCAGCGTGGACCTGACGAACAGCACGCTGGTCAAGGCTGAGTTCAGGATCTTCCGAGCCCCCAACCCGCAGGCCCGGGCCTCTGAGCAGAGAGTGGAGATCTATCAGGTTAGGACTGTCCTCTGTCTTGTGTTTGTAAGATCCAAACAGACCTTTTTAATGCGCTTTTTTTTTTAAAGGGGACCCACACGTGTCGTAAAAGAAATAGACTATGTTTATACTGTGTCATTTTGTCTAAAAGTAGATGCGAATATGTCAACAATCTACTGTGTGAAATACGTTAACGAGCTGCGGGCAAATATTTCACACCTCTCGCAGAATTCTCAGGGAAGCGAGTCACCTTTATTTGAATGCCTCCTGTTTTGTTTTGTTTTTTTTTTTTAGTTTATGGGCATTGAAGTTTAGCATGTGTTATTTCGGTCTATTTGAGGAAACGAGGTTCCTTTGCCACAGTGGAAACGAGCACTCAAAAGGAACGCAGACCTGTGCCAAGTAATAACACTTTACCCGGAGAGTCCAGGAGCTGCAACCCACATTTTATGCTTTCTTCCTAACCCTTTCCACCGAGGCTTGTGGAAATGCATTTTTGCACACTCCTGCACATTTCATAAACTCAACGATTCGTAGAAAATAATAGAATGAAACTGTTACAGGATTGAAATTTTTTTCTGATCGCTGAAGTACATTTTTCTTCTGACTATTGGCTATCTTTCCAAATCTCTTCAAACAAATAAGAAAACCTTTCACCAAAATAACAAAAGTTGTAAAAATTGTATTTTTGGATCAAACAATTAACCAACCCAGGGTGGCCCGGTGGTTGACTATTTAGGGTGGAGGTGAAGGGTGCAGGGTTTGATTCCGGCTCCGGCCTTCCTGTGTGGAGTTTGCATGTTCTCCCAGTGCCTGCGCGGGTTTTCTCCGGGTGCTTCGGTTTCCTCCCACATTCCAAAAACATGCATGGCAGGCTGATTGGACACTCAAAATTGTCCCCAGGTGTGAGTGCGAGCGCGAATGGTTGTTCTTCTCTGTGTGCCCTGCAATTGGCTGGCGACCAGTTCAGGGTGTCCCCCGCCTACTGCCCGAAGACAGCTGGGATAGGCTCCAGCATGCCCGCAACCCTTATGCGGATAAGCTGATTAGAAAATGGATGGATGGAAGTATTCAAATCAGTCACTACAAGGAGCAGCATGTCAATGTCGATGTGTATGTGTTCCATCAGCTGCTGAAGCCGGATGAGGAGAGCACGTCCACGCAGCGCTACATCGACTCTCGCACCGTTCAACCGCGGGCGAGAGGTGCCTGGATCTCCGTGGACGTCACCGAAACCGTCAAAGACTGGGTGTCGGATCCAGGTCGGCGTCATTTCTACTCTCACGTTGGAACATTCACATACTGTTCTTCTCACGTGTGGCCTTTCCTTCTCTCACCGGTGGCAGGAAACAATCTGGGCTTGAAACTGGGCGTCCACTGTCCATGCTGTACCTTCGTCCCCGCCACCAACAATATTGTGCCCAACAAGAGCGAGGAACTGGAGGCTCTTTTTGCAGGTTGGCTGCCGTTTTATCCACAAAAATCTGCCTCCATGAACATCATGAGGTTTTGATTGACACACGCTGGTGTTAATGTCGTAATGAATTACGGCTGATAGCGGCGCGATAGCGGTTAGCACTTCTGCCTCACAGTTTTGAGGTTTGGGATTTGACTCTTGAATTCCAGCCTTCCTCTGGGGAATTTGAATGCTTTGCCAGGGTTTGCATGGGTTTTCTTCCTCCTCCATTATGAAAACACGCAGGCTCGGTTTATTGACGCAAATAAATGGATTATGGTTATAGTTGGCGGCCCGGTAGTCCAGTGGTTAGCACGTCGACTTCACAGTGCAGAGGTACCGGGTTCAATTCCAGCTCCGGCCTTTCTGTGTGGAGTATGCATGTTCTCCCCGGACCTGCGTGGATTTTCTCCGGGTACTCCGGTTTCCTCCCACGTTCCAAAAACATGCATGACAGGCTGATTGAACACTCCATATTGTCCCTAGGCGTGAGTGTGGGCGTTGATGGTTGTTCGTCTCTCAGCTGTCAATATGATGCAGTACTCTTGTGCAACGCCGCAAACTACAGCCACAATAATAAATAGGTCGGTCAATGAACACCTCTCTGACAGCGTCAATCCAAACTTATAAATGGAAAAAGCGGTCGTCCTGTTTTGTGTGTATTTTACATGGACCATAAAAGTTGTTCAAGAAAACATAAGATTCCGAAAATCAGTTAAGTGCTAATACAACAAGAAATGTGCCAGTCACCAAATGATTACATGATTCAGGGTCACACCTCCCCACTAAATAAAGGCCACACTGTTCTCCCACACACACTGCCGATACTATTGAGCAACTCACGACCAGGCCCCAAATGGCCGCCCTCTACTCCCAATTTACACTCGCCTCAATGTTTTTCCCCCCCTTCTTTACGTCAATAAAAAAATATCAATGTTTGATTCTGCTGTAAGACAACCAAGGGTCTTGTTTTGACCTGACTCCCCCCAACTCCCCCGAACGGCTACAAACGCACGAATAAACATTTGAAATTGGCTGCGACGTGGCATAGCATGCTAACGCCTGCTAATTAGCCAAATGACAAAATGACGAGGGTGTTGTCAGTCTCGCACGGACTCATGAAGTGAAATATTTGACACGTTTAAGAGACCTGCCTCGACGTGTTTGAAGACATTCATTACGGGCGGTCGCAGAACGTAGTGAGCTTGAGAAATGATTCTCTTTAACACCGGGACTCTTTTAGGAGCAGCCATTTTATTTGTGATCCGTCATGGTCAAATCTGTTGCATAATTACAGGTCAAATAAACAGAAGTGTTTCGGCAATCACGGTAATAAAATCGCCGTCATTCTGAAGAGGGAAATACGGTGCCGAGTGGCTCGCCCACAGTCGAATTTTGGGAAACGGCAGCTGACAAACGATTTTGGGGCTGCGATTCATGTTTATTTCAATCATTGATTCATCTGTCGATTATATTTTTGATGGACCGTATAAAAAGAATTCAAAATAATTTCCAGCCCTTTATGAAAAAGAGGACATTTTAAATCGACTTTGCAGAAAATGTAAACTCATCATTCAAATCTTGGTTTGGTCTTAAAAAATATTAATTGTTTGTTGTCTTCCAAAGTAAAAAGCAGATGTTTGCAAAAGCCATTTTGATAAAAAAACACAAAAAAAAACAACAAGATAATCCGTTTGCTTTCTTTTCTGCAGAAATGCTGAAATTCTGAGGATTTGCGCAATTTTTATTTCATGAATGTCTCAAAACGATGACTCGATTATCATCAAAATACTTGTTGGTGAATTTGATAATCGATGAGTTGTTGATTAACTGATGCACCTCTAAAAAGATTGACTTGGTTGGCTAATTGCAGCTCCCCCTTTGAAGCTCCTCTTGAGATCACAACGAATATGGGTTTGAAGTTCATCGGACGTCTCCTGAAAAATTAGTCTAAAATTTTGAAATGTGCGAGGAAGTCGGAGGACCCAGAAAAAAAACTCACACAAACACGTCAGCCAAGATTTGAACCCAGAAACTCAGGAATGGGAGGTCAAAGCATGTTGCCCATCATCTCGATTGTTTTAGTTCAAAATTATGAAGGGACAAAGCGACACTCAACGTGGGTTGTCTTTTTTTTGGAGTAGGCGTGGACGACGAGCAGCTGCGCCAGCTGAAGAAGCAGAGCCAGGTGAAAGGTCAGGCGGATTTCAGCAGCAAGACGCCTCACCTCATCCTCACCCTGCTGCCCAGCGACCGAGTGGACAATCCGGCCAAGAGGAACCGCAAGAAGAGGGCGGCGGCCACAGACGCTGCCACCTGCTCGCGGTATGACTGCACTCGAAGTACACATACGCTGCAAGATTATTTTAGGGAAAGAAAACGAACGAAATCAGGAAAACTAAAATTGGAAAGATCATTTCCAATGAATATGCTTTTTACAAAACGAAAACAACGTGAATCTACATTTTACATTGACAAACCTAACTCAATTGTAGCAAAAATTCCTCGAAATTTTCGTCTTTGTTAATTAATGTAATGCATGATCTCTTTTCTCTCTCTCTCTCGCTCTCTCTGTCTCTATACAAGTAACACACAAGACATCATATCAAAATGGAGTAAGAAGTGACTTTTGGGACAATTGTGTGTAAAGAGTAAGAATGGTGTCCCAGTGTTTAGACTACTGCGTGTTTGATTTAGTCTAGTTGACACTCTCTGGCAGCCTCGCGTTGTCATTACCATTTTCTTTTGTCATTTTCCCATGACCCAACTTTCAAGAACCGTTTTCTGTGTGTGCGTGTGTTAGTGGCTCCGATTCGGGCTGCTGCCTACGCTCGCTCTACATTGACTTCCGGCGCGACCTCAACTGGAAGTGGATCCATGAACCCAAAGGTTACAAGGCCAACTTCTGCGCCGGCAACTGTCCTTACCTCTGGAGCGCCAACAACCACTACAACATGGTGAGCTTCTGCAGTTTATGTTTAGTGACACCGGTCACACTGGTTTCAAGTGAAGGCAACACATAAGAAGACTGTTCGATGTCGGCACCAAATAATCACTGTAGTGTGTGTGTGTGTGTGTGTGTGTGTGTGTGTGTGTGTGTGTGTGTGTGCGCGTGTGTGTGTGTGTGTTAGCATGTGTCAAATGGACAGACTTGGGTGACGTGTGCTTACGCAATGAAATCCACATGCATGCTTTGCGGCTGCTGGTTTACCTCAGCCTTGTACAGTAAATGTCCTGTCACCTCGTATGGCCTCCATAAACATAAAGAAACAGAACAACACGCTGTGTGGTTCGCAGGGCAGCACACGGGCGTAACACAACGTGGCACTAGGAATTCTTCTACACAGTATACGTCGACTGGACTCTATATAATAAGCAAATATTAATACTAACTCGTGGGGGAGAAAAATGCTGAAATTTTGTCCTTGTTTGTTTGTGTGTGTGTGTGTGTGTGTCAGATCCTGCCACTGTACAACAAGCTGAACCCTGAAGCGTCGGCGTCACCCTGCTGCGTCCCCCAGGACTTGGAGCCCCTCACCATCATGTACTTCATCGGGCGCAGCCCCCGTGTGGAGCAGCTCTCCAACATGGTGGTCAAGTCCTGCAAGTGTCGCTAGAAACCAACACCCCCCCCCACCCCGCTACCCCATTCCGAACTCTCCGTTTGAGACTGTAAATAAGTTCACATCCATATAGTGCAAATGGAAAGTATTCACAGCACTTCACTTTGTCCACGTTTTGTTATACTTTAATTCACCCCCCCCCCAACCCCCCTCCTCAAAACTCCCTAAGTGAAGCAGTGAATATTTTCCGGATGCGTAAAATGAACATGCTGTAATAAACTTTGACAGTTCTTCCACATACGTCTCTTAGCAAAGGATTCTTTTATGTCCACTGTTGCTTGTGACTGTTTGTACTGTAGCTAGACAAGAGGAAGAAAAAGAAAGAGAGGAGCCGTGTCCAAGCGAGCGAGCCGACGGCCTGCCAGCTCGCTGCGGTCCGGGCCTCAAATGTGCCATGGCGTAAACAGGATGCGAACGCTTTTTCACAAAAAAGGCAACCATTTAAAACGCCTTCTCCTGCTCCTCCTCTGTTGCTGCTTCTGGGATTTGTGGCGGGAGGAGAGAGCGAGAGATGCCCTTTTGAGAGCCAGACGTGGGACGGACGACGGGGCGGAATTTGTCTGGAAGGTGGCGGTTTGCAGCCCCGGCGCACTTCCTAGCGTTTTTGGGGTCTGGCAGCCTAATGACGCTGACGTGCTTCTTTTCTTCTGCATTCATTATCTTACTGATGGTTATGCTGTCTCTCTCTGTTGCCTTGTGGTTGACCTTCTCGATGTCTCACACATACACACATAAAATATTCTGTACTTGTTGACCACACTTGAAATTGTGCAAATAAAAAAAAAATATTTCCGGGGTTGACTTTTAAATATAGACTCTGGTATGCCAGTGGTTTCGTTTTTGTGAGGTCATGCGTGATTGTGTTGCGATGGCTGCTATTCCGCTGTCCAGTCATGGAAGTATCAAGACAGTCAACAGTGGTCAAGAGCGTTTTGTAAGTTATGCAACTGGAAAAATGCTTTTTTTGACTCGGCATTAAATAGACACATCCGCTTTGTAAAACCACAAGTCTAAAAACGTCTCCTCAAAAATTACATAAGAAACACTTCTGTGTGTGATTTAAATCATGCTCAATAGTACTCGCTTCTTAATATATCTTAAGCCTCATTAAATGTTAAACAGAAGCACAGGAATTTCATTTATATTTTCTCTAAAACTTACGCAGGCTGTGAAATATTTTTTTCTGCCTAACTTTAGTACAGACGATAGCTCACTTAGCTAAGGCACAATAATCAACCATTTAGTTCTTAGAACACAACAAAAGATATTGTCGAAATTACAGATGACATTTTATATATGAAAAGTGTATTGAATTACCTGTGATGTTTACACAGCAAACATACCCAAAAATGTCACAAAAATGGAGACCAATGGCACTTGCTTTACTTCAGTGACGTTTCAGTCATGTAAAAACTTCCTTTCACACAAGGCCTCCGTTCTACGATGCGGCTTTTTAGCGCCCTAGTGGCTCCCTGGAGCTTTTTCAATCATGTTTGAAAATGGAAATATATGGGGGAGGGAAAGATATTTTTTGTTTTAATATGGTTTCCTTTAGGAGGACTTACATGACACATACATGACACATACATGACACATACATTCGTAACGTTTTCCAATGCTGTAAAAATTTGGAGAATAAATATTAAATTTCAACATTTCTGTCAACGAAGTTTTTTTGCGTCATATCCTGCGACATACGTTTCTATTTGCAGGGCGGAATGCAAGGCAGGTGGCTGTTGTAAAAAAAAAAAACAAAACAAAACTGCTTTTCATGGATAATTCACTGACGGCGAGCAAAGAATGGGAATGCAAAAAGAGAAGCAGCATTTTAAAAGGGTACACGTGAGCTATGAGAGTTAGCATGGTGCAAAAATGCGTCCAATGCCTCCGAGTCAGGTCGCGACGAAGGTAGACAGTGATTTCCCTTTCAAAAGCCCTTGTGTCTACTTTATTTTTCTGTTTGGTTACACCTAACCCAAAACCTAACCCCTGACCTTAACCCCTAACCCCCTAGCCCGAAGCCGAACCATAAACCTAACCCCCTAACCCTAACCCCTAAACCTAACCCTAACACCTAAACCCTAAATCTAACCGATAACCCTAACCCCGAACCCTAACCATCACCCTAACCAGTAACCCAAACCCGACCCTCTAAACCTAACCCTACCCTTAACCCCTAACCCTAAACCCTAGCCTCACCCTAACCCTGAACACTAACCACTGACCCCTAACCCTAACCCCCTAACCCTAACACCTAAACCCTAAACCTAACCCCTAACGCTAACCCTAACCCCCTAACCCCGAAACCCTAACCATTACCCCTAACCCGAACCCTAACCCCCAAACCTTAACCCCTAACCCCCGAACCCTAACACCTAAACGCTAAACCTAATCCCCTAACCGTAACCCGAACACCTAAACCCTAAACCTAACCCCTAACGCTAACCCTAACCCCCTAACCCTAACCCCTAACCCTAACACCTAAACGCTAAACCTAATCCCCTAACCGTAACCCGAACACCTCAGGCCTAACCCTCTAACGCAAACTCCCTGACATTAACCCCTAACCCCCTAACCCTAAGGCAAAGACCTAATCCTAACCCTAACCGCTAACCCTAAACCCCAACACTCACCCTAATCACGAACCCTAATCCAACACTCTAAACCTACATCTAACCCTAACCCTAAACCTAAACCCCTAACCCTAAACCTAAACCCCTAACCCTAACCCCAAACCCTAACACTAACCCTAACCCCACACCCTAAACTGTAACTCGAACCAACCCCTAACCCTAACACCTAGCCTAACCCTAACCCAGAACCCTAACACTAACCCAAACCCCTAACCCTAAACTCTAACCCAACCCTAACACTAACCGCTAACCCTAACCCCTGACCCATAAACCCTAATCCGAACCCCCTAAACCTAACCCCTCAACCCTAACCCTAAACCCCTCACCCTAATCTTAACCCTAAACCCTAACCCCAAACTCTAAGACTTAAACCTTAATCCTGAACCCTAACACCTCAGCCTAACCTTAAAACGTAACCCTAACCCCGAATCCCGAACCATAACACTAATCCTAACCCCAACCCTAACCCTTTACCCTTACCCTAACCCTGACCCGACCCCAAACCCGAATCCCCTGATCCCCTAACCACAACCCTAACACTAACTCTAACCCTTTACCCTAACCTCACCCCAAACCCTAATCCCATAACCTTAACCCCGAACCCTAACCCGAACCCTAACGCCTAACCCTAACCCCACACCCTAAACTGGAACTCTAACCACAACCCCCTAACCCTAACACCTAGCCTGACCCTAACCCAGAAGCCTCACACTAACCCAAACCCCTAACCCTAAACTCTAACCCAACCCTAACACTAACCGCTAACCCTAACCCCTGACCCATAAACCCTAATCCGAACCCCCTAAACCTAACCCCTCAACCCTAACCCTAAACCCCTCACCCTAATCTTAACCCTAAACCCTAACCCCAAACTCTAAGACTTAAACCTTAATCCTGAACCCTAACACCTCAGCCTAACCTTAAAACGTAACCCTAACCCCGAATCCCTAACCATAACCCTCATCCAAACCCCAACCCTAAGCCTTTACCCTAACCCAAACCCTGACCCAACCCCAAACCCTAATGCCCTGATCCCCTAACCACAACCCTAACACTAACTCTAACCCTTTACCCTAACCTCACCCCAAACCCTAATCCCATAACCTTAACCCCGAACCCTAACCCTCACGCCTAACCCTAACCCCTAACTCCTAAACCCTAACCCCGAACCCTAACTCCTAAACCCTAATCCTAACACCTAAGGCTGACCCGAACCCTGACCCGACCCCAAACCCTAATCCAATAACCCTAACCCCGAACCCTAATCCCAACCCGAACCCTAACGCCTAACCCCTAACCCTAACACTAACCCTAATCCCCCTAACCCTAACCACTAACCCGAACCCCATACCCGCCTAACCCTAATCTTAACCCAAAACCCTAACCCCAAACCCTAAACCTGAATCCTAACACCTCAGCCTAACCTTAAAATCTAACCCTAACCCTGAACCCTAATCCTAACCCTAACCAGAACCCTAACACTAATGCTAACCCTTTACCCAAACCCGAACCCTAACCCGACCCCAAACCCTAATCCCCTAACCACAACCCGAACACTAACCCTAACCCTTTACCCTAACCCTAACCCAAACCCTAATCCCATAACCCTAGCCCTGAACCCTAACTTCTAAACCCTAACCCCGAACCCTAACCCAACCCCAAACCCTAATCCCCTAACCATGAACCCTAACCCCAAACCCTAAACGCCTAACGCTAACCCCTAACACTAACCCTAACCCTAACACCTAAACCCGAACCCTAACCCCGAACCCTAACTCCTAAACCCTAACCCCGAACCCTTACCCTAACCCTAACCCAAACCCTAATCCCCTAACCCGAACCCTAACCCCGAACCCTAACTCCTAAACCCTAACCCCGAACCCTTACCCTAACCCGAAACCTAACCCAAACCCTAATCCCCTAACCCGAACCCTAACCCCAAACCCTAACTCCTAAACCCTGAACCCTTACCCTAACCCAATCCCCTAACCTTAACTCTAACGCTAAACCTAACCCTAATCCCCCGAACCCGAACCCCATACCCCCCTAACCCTAATCTTAACCCTCGCCCCTAACCGCTAACCCTAACCCCTAACCATAACCCTGACCCTGAACCCTAACCCGTAATCCCTAACCCTAACCATATCACTAACCCCTAATCCCTAACCCTATCACTAACCCCTAACCCAAACACCTAACCCGAACCTGAACCCTAACCTACCCCCCTAACCCTAACCCAAACACCCTAGCCCTAACCCTAACACCTAACCCTAAACCCAACCTTAACCCTAACCCCTAAGACAAACCCTAACCCCTAACCCTTAACCCTAACCCCGAACCCTAACCCCAAACCGTAATACCTAACCATAACCCCTAACCCAACCTGAACCCTTACCTCTAAACCTAACCCCTAACTCAAACCCTACCCTAACCTGTAACCCTGACCCTAACACTAACCGCTAACCCAAAACCCTAACCCTAAACTCTAACCCTAACCCGACCCTCTAAACCTACCCCTAACCTGAACCCCAAGCCGTGACCCTAACGCCAAACCACTAATCTTAACCTTAACCCCTAACCGAAACCCTAACCCTGACCCTAACCACTAACTCTAGCCTCAAAACCTAACACTAACCCCGAACCCTAATCCTAACCCGAACCCCAACCTGAACCCCAACCCCTAAACCTAACCCGTAACCCTGACCCTAGCACTAACCCTAACTACTCACCCTAAACCCTAACCCTCACCCTAACTACAAACCCTAACCCAACCCTCTAAACCTACCCCTAACCCAAACGCTAACCCGAACACCTAACCCAAACCCCCTCACCCCAAACCCTAACTCCCTTAACCCTAACCTTAATCCCTAACCCAAACCCTAACCACAAAAAATTAAAAGCCTTATAATGAAGGCAATACATGCTATATGTACAGTGATCCCTCGCTATATCGCGCTTCATTTATCGCATCTTAACATTCGAATCGTTTGATAATTTTGTACGGTGCACATCTAAATCACATTCAACAGACAAACTTACCGTTGGTTATTTAATGACAAATAAATACAAGAAAATAATAGACCAATTTCTTCTGTTTTTGAAAATAGTTTAGCGGATGTGTAAAGGATTAAAATCATTATTAGTTTTACAATTCAAATATTAGGCATTACCAAACCTTGTAATCTATTTTTAAATAGATACTGCGTGAAGATTCTCACATTAAGACTTTTCCAGGTCTTGACAAACTGTTATCGTGAACAATTGTGTTGCTTTAGAAATCTAAGTACCGTCTAAATTGCCACAATTAGTATCCAATTAAAAATTTCCAAACTTTGATATCTTTAGCATGAAATGAAAAAATAAATGGATTGCAGACATTAAGCGATCATCCAATACACTCGCAATACTATTAAATCCATCCATCATCCAAAGCGCTGATATTAGATATTTTCTACTCTAACTGGTAAAAGTGAAGGAGTAAAGATGAGTGACTATGTTGTTTTTGTTTATAGGAGTACAACCTTTGTAGGTTCTTGTTTTCATTTGCACATTTCAGTCCCGCATCGACTAAAATACATATTTAGCAAAGGAATAAAACTCCTTCAACTCATGTTCAGCCGACCAAAAAACAACTCCAATGTTGTGTTGAATTGTCCACTTTGGAGTTGTGGTTTACAATTAAAATAAGAGCTTTACTTCTGCAGTAAATTGTTTTTTTTTCTTCTCCTTAAGCCACAACCTGTGCGTGCGTGCATGCGTGTTTGCGTGCGTGTGGTGAGGTCTCTCTCTCTCTCCCCCTCTCCTCCCGCCACCTCAGCCCTCCTCCCTGAGTAAACTGGTCCCGGCATGTGTTTGTCTTCTGCACTTAACTACCTCTTGCTATATCCAACCTGTACTTATCCCACTCCGGAGCGCTGCGCTACGTGCTGCTGGCCTTGAGGACGGAAGGACGGATGGAGGACGGATGCAGGGAGGGGACATGGGACCTGGACACGGACCCCGCCGTCTTCAGACTACACATTGGCAAGACGTTGCAGTTTCCCGCAAGCATAAAATGCGCCCGAGAGGATGATAAAAAGATTTACGTGCCTCTCGCACCTCCTATTGCATGTGATAAATACAGGTCACATGTCACACACAGCTGTTTATTTCCACCAGCCAGCTATTTTTGACAGCGCTTTTCCTCATTCCGCAACCTCTCCCGGCTGATTTTGAGAGGTGGGGTACAACCAAGAGTGGTCGCTATGCAGCTAAATGCAGGGCACATAAACACAAAAAGCATCCCAACAAACCTGAACCCTATTTCAGAAACCCCAACCCTAAATGCAATTGGAAAACTGAATTAAGAAACCCCAATCCTAATTTGAAACGATAACCCTAATTTGAAACACTAAATTGACTTCAAAACCCCGAGCCTAACTTTGAAACCCTAACCCTGTTTTGAAACCCAAATTTGAAAGCCGAAGGCTACTTTGAAACCCTGACCCTAATTTTTCACCGTCTGTGAAACCTTAACCTCAATTTAAAACCGTAACTGTAGTTTGAAACACAAGCCTAATTCGAAACCCTAACCTTACTTTGAAACCCTAATCCTACAGTGACACCTCAACCCTAATTTGAAGCTAACCCTAACCCTACTTTGACACCTCAACCCAAATTGAAACCCTGCTTTCCAAAAACTAATCGTATTTGAAACCATCGTTTGAAATCCTACTTTGAAGCCTGAACCCTAATTTGAAAACATCACTCTATTTTCAAACGGTGTAATTTACAATCCTAAAATTTTATTCAATTAAAAGCCTAATTTGACACCCTACTTTGAAATACTAACTTTATTTTGAACCCCCACTTTATAACCAAACTAATTTAACATTCAAATTGTAAACCCTAACCCTACTTTGAAACCTTAACTCTAATCTGAAACGCTACTTTGAAACCCTCTCCCCAACTTGAAACCCGACTAAACATTAACTGTACTTTGAAGCCCTATTTTGTAACCCCAACCCTAATTTGAATCCATACTGTGAAACTCTAACTCTAATTTGAAATCTGAATTTGAAACCCTAACCCTAATTTGAAACCCCAACCCTAAATTTCAAACCTTACTTTGAAACACTTATTTGAAAGCATAAAGCTAATTTGAAACTATAACCCTACTTTGAAACCCTCACCCTAATTCTACTTTGCAACCCCAACGTACAACCTTACTTTGAAACCCTAATCCTTCTTTAAAACTCTAGCTGTACTTTGTAACCCAACTCTGCTTTAAGCGTCGTCTTTGAAACACAAACCCTACAATGAAACCCTGACTGAACTTTGAAACACTACTTTGAAATCCCAATCCTAATTAGAAACTAGAACCCTACTTTGAAACCTTAATTTGAAACTCTAGGCCTAATTTGGAAGCCAACTTTGAAAACAAAATTGTACTTTGAAACCCTTACCATCATTTGAAACCCTAATAGATTCAAAGTATGGCTAGAAACCATAACTGCAACTTCAAACCCTAAATCTAATTTGAAACCATAACTGTACTTTGAAACCCATTTGAAACGCCAACTTTACTTTGAACCTACGAAAAAGGATTCACTGTCACGTTAATGCCTATGGACAATTTAGAGTCTTCAGTGACACGTACAGTATGTATTTTATCTTGGCACGCAGCTCATTCTTGACGCTCCTCTTGCTAGCAAAACGAATGCATGTTTAGGTCCGTCGAATATGTGTTGATGTCCTGGAGAAAGAAAGAAAAAAACCCAAAAAACAAACACATCGAAAGGCCAGACCTTTGATTTGAATCCCCAACCTCAAAACTGAAAAGGCAGACATGTTTACCACTAGGCCACCGTGCTTCCCAGTCTTTTTTTTTTTCCTCCCTCCCAAGGCATTGAATTAAAGCTCCAGCTCCATAAAGACAAAATGTAAAAGTTATACAACGGCAAAACGGGAGGGTGAGGAGGCACATTTTGTGGCCTCAGCATTATTGCAGGCTGCAGAGGCGGCCAGCCGACCGGCGCAGGCCCAAAGCCACACAAATTCCATTTTTAAACACATGAGGGCGTGCTGGCGCGCAGCTTCAAGGAGATGCTTTATTGCAGCTCGTTAAAAAAAAAAAAAAAAGGCCCTTTTTATGCCATAAAATACCAAAGTCCTAGTCAGTATTTAGTCAAGGCACATTGGCGTTCGGTTTTATTGTCGACACGTCCAACAAAAGACGACAGCGTCAATGTGAACGTTAAAACATTCATCAAGTGTCAGGGCCCTGGTGACTTTCTCCAAGCCGCTGTCAGCGGATGATGAAATGTGCGGCCGCCTTGGACGAGAGCGTCACTGGCCGCCTCCTCTCGTTAGCATCTTTGAGGCCGTGAGTAAGCGAGATGCTCTTGGCCTAGACTGAAGCGGCGGCGGAGTTCACCGGGGACTCGCCGAGGTCAGCACGTCTGCAAATGTGCACGCTCGTGTTCTGTAAATAGGGAATATGTGGAAGAAAATGGCTTGCTGTGTGACGTTCATATTTAAAGGTGACATCACGCATTTTGTCTGTTTTTCGCAATTTCCTCCTCCCACATCATCGAAATGTCAAGTTGAGATTTACTCTCGAACTTCCATCTTCTAACTCAAAAACTTGATATCAAATGCAAAGCGACACCACGCTGCCATCTACTGGAGAATGTCTGCCACTACAGTTCTGTTAACGCGTGGATTTCATAAACGAGCAGCGTGAGACCCTCTTCGGCGACGTCCCGTAAAAAAAAAACAAACAAACATACTTGACAAATAGATTTATCAGTGGCAGTAAATGTTTCGTTTCCAGTTGACGAAAATAAATGTCAATGGCAGTGAATGAGTTTAATATGTAAATTGTCGCAGGTGCAGAAGGGCTCAGTCACACACATTTTCAGAAATTTTAAGAAAACTTATTTGGTTGTTTAATTAGGCAAAAGGCAAACCCCATCTCGAACCTCTGATGTGTGAGGCAGGCGTGCTAACCACTTGACCACTCATATGTGTCGCTTGAACTTAAATAGTTCAATAATTTAAAAAAAATTGCTTTGGACTGAAAAAGGTGACATCACTAAGACACGTGGGTGAAGCCGCAGTGCTCAAACATTCAAAAGTTTTTTGTTAAGCCTGAACGGAGGGACAGTATTTGAATTCTTCTTGGTTGGTGAAGACGTTTCAGCTTTAATCCCAAAATTTGCAATTGTAAATTTTAGATTTTTAAATTGGCCACCAATTTCCTAACAACTGACATTTGGCATGGACACATACATTAATGCAGGGGTGTCAAATTCATTTTTCACTTGAAAACAGAAGTCAAGAATAACTGTTGATTCAACCATTGTTCCTATCATGTGGGGTTTGGTAACAAGAAAATGCTGAGAATATCTCCTTTATTTATCAGAGATGAGAATTTAAAATTTTGGTAGACAATTTAGAAAGGCTCATGGAAGTACACGTTTGAGCTGCTTTCGCGGTCCACATAAAATGATGTGGCGGGCCAGATCTGACCCCTGGGCCTTGAGTTTGACACTTGTGCATTAATGTAATGAAATATGTGTGTGTGTGTGTGTATATATATATATATTAAAAATGATCATGTTTACATTATAAGGCATAATTATTATTCCCAATCAGTCCATTTCTTAGTCGTTCGCTGTATTTTAGTTTAGTCCACATTTGCTAATATTGGCATTCATCAGACCAAAGACTTGGGATTTTTTTTTTTGTTTGCAAAAAGATTGTGCATTATTTGAGGGAAATTTGGGCAAAACATAGAACTGAATAAGCCTTTTGGATAAAAGGTGAAACGTCTTTAACAATCAAGAAGAGTCTTGCTTCCATTCAACCTTCACAGATTACCATAACCTGGATGACCGAGAATGCTCTCAAGTCGCTGGCGAGTCGTTGTAAACAAACCGTTTCTTCAGAAAAGGGATAAGAGGAGTAGACGTCAAAGCGTCTGCGGAGAATCCCTGTAAGTCAGCGACGACGACAACAGCGAGTCCGGAGGCGGCGTGGGTGGATTGGACGGTGGCTGCAAGTCCTCGCCGGGCCTCCTCGCCTGCTTCGAGCTCCACTCGTGCTTCGACAACCTCCTCACGTTCTTCACGCTCTTCCGCTTGGGTTTGTGCGGTCGCCGCCTCTTCTCGTCGGCACGCTCACTCAACGCGTCCGACGACTCGTCGATGTACGCCAGGTTCTCGCCGAAGAAGTCCAGAAGGCCCGTGGAGTAGGGAGGAAGGGAAGGTGAAGGGGGAAGGGAACTCAGATCAGGCGAGGCTTTGTTTTCACCACATCTCGCCTCCTCCTCGGGGTTCATTTTGTCTCCTTCCGCTTCAACCGTGCGGTGAGCCCGGAGCTTCCGAAGATCTGAGAAGGATGAAGACGATGAGGAGATGTCGGATCTGGAGTCGAAGTCCGAACCTGAGGGGGAACCATCGAGTACGGCGGCTTCAGGGGAGTCCAGCTCGGAGGCGGACGGAGCCGCGGGAAGGGAGAAGGAACGCGTGAGCAGGTGAGGTAAGGAGTGATGCGCCATCTGTTGACGCAAAGCCACGGACAGCTCGGGCGGCTTTGCCCTCGGCATTGTGCCGCCGCCAACGGGAAGCCTCCCCATCGGCTTGGTCCTCATAGTCCTTTCCAGGGAGGATCCGCGCCCCTCCAGCCGACTCATCGAGCTGGACAGCCCGGCCCAGTGGCCGGGGAGGTGTCCGTTCTCTGGGCCCCCCCGGGCCCAGTAGCCCAGCGTGACCTGGGCTCCGCGTCGGATGCGGCGGCGCTCGCTACGCTTCCAGCGCCGGCGCTGCAGGAGGAACGGGTCGTTGAACTCCAGAGGGTTGGGGATGCGGAAGTCCTTGGACATGTTCTGCGTCCAGTCGGTGGCGTGAGCGCGCAGCTCCTCCATCTGACGTGACGAGAAACACGCAACCTATTTCAAGTGTTGAAAATAGACTGACAACAAATCGATGACCTAGAAAATGGAATCTCTGGGGAAATTACATGTAAATGCTGGAAGGCGAAATGACAAATATAGAATTAGTTGGAATTATATTGAATGGAATGGAATTAAGGTGCTGGATATGGAATATATTGAAAAATACAGAATGATATGGAATTGTGGAAAGATATGGAATGATACTGAACAACACAGAAGGAAATGGAATGAGATTTATGAAAAATGTACAATACGTTGTTGAAAAATGTGGAATGATAATGAAAGATGACTTACCGGTATATTAAATACAACTGATTGATATGGAATGAAGGCAGAAATTAAATTTTGGTTTAAAGGTGTCAGTGGGAAAGCAGGAGGAATTTTTGGGAGAAAAGTGTGGACTTGGAGGGGTTGTTTTTTTGTTGTGTGAGGCAGATGTGCTAACCACTACACCACCTTGTTGCCTCAAAAATTGTATTTTTAAGTCTGACGTTGATTGCCAAATATTGTCATTTTCCCACCGGCTACCAAATTTTGGGTCTCCAGCCACAACTGAATCAAATAATATGAAAACAATAAGTAAATTATATAGCACACATTTTTCAGAAAATAACAGCCAAGACTGTATTTCTCCCACAAAGATTTCAAGAATATTTTCCTTGGCTGCTGCAGCTTCCTATCATATTCCCAAAACTGCTAGTTTCTTTGAAGACTCGCAATTGTCCAAAGGTGTGAATGGTCGTTCATCCCTTCGTGCCTTGTCATTGACTGGCGAACCGTCCGGGGTGTCACTCAAAGCCAAATGGGTCAGCTAAACAAGTCCCTGAAGTTTACCCAATTTTAAAATCATCTCTTATTGGTCGGCAGATTTGTAAAACAGGCCAATGCCGATATGCGTCAAAATACCAAATATTGGCGCAGATAATCGGTCGCTCCCTACAAGTGAGGATGCAGTCAATATTGTTACATACAATCTAGAAAATGGATAGATAGATACAAAAACAGCTTCCTTCCCAACTAGAATTGAATGGTCAGATGAATGAAACGATCGTGCAACATGTGCGTGTGCGCATATGTGTCTCGCCTCAGCGCGGGTCCTCTTGGAGAGCACACGCAGCCAGTTGCCAATCATGGTGAGGATGGAGGCAAAGTAGGCCAGACCGAACACGATCCACAACCACACGAGAGGTTTGAAGAACAGCCCGCCGGCCTGACTACCATCTGGACACACGCACATAAACACACACAGATCTATTCATATTTTTGAAGGCAACCTCTCACCAATTCCAATTTTGTCTCTTGGGACTTTTTTTGCTGTTTGTGATGATCACATGAACATTTAGTCGGCAATTTTTTTTTTGTAATCTTTTATCGAATGCACATGAAAAGCTGTTTGAATAAAGAAAATTGGTGCAGCAACATCTGCAGTTGGATGTGTGCGAGTGTTCCCACCCGGCACGTAGTCTCCAAAGCCCACCGTGGTGAGCGTGATGACCACAAAGTAGAGTGACTCCAGGAAGGACCAGCCCTCTGACTTCTGAAAGAAAACCGTGGGCACGGCCAGGAAGATGAGGCAGCCGATGAGGATGGACAGCACGGCAGAGATCACGCGCACCGTGGTGGGACGCACTTGACGCTTCTAACGCACGCACGCACACACACACACACACACACACACGGCAGAAAACACACACACAAGCGATAAGTGTCCTAATGAGGAAGTTGCTAATGATGCAAAAAAAATTAAACTTTTTTTTTTCTCTTTTATTGTATTTTGTGTCTCCTATAGAACCTATGAAAAGCAAGCTCAATTTGCAGTTTTGGGCTGATTCTGAAAAGCCCCAAGATGCCACCAGATGCCGCCATAGCCCTGTCTAAATACAAAAGTGGCGTCAAGTGTGAGAAACCAAGCAACCACGTAAAATCTTTTGCAATTTGCCAGTTTCTGAAAACGTGTGCTTGAATAAGCTGTTGTGCAATAATCGATCAAGATCTGATCAGGATATGTCATGAAGTGATCTCTTATGAGTATTGAAGCTCAAGAGCCACTTTCAAGTGACCGCGCAACACCGCGTGTTACTAAGAGAAACACTCACACCACCAAAACGGTTGTGACAACGCAGCTTTCATGTCACAGCCAAAAGGTAAGCAGAGCCGCATTGAGTTTTGTGGAATGATTCGTTTCACTTAACAGTGTTAGCTTCTGCTAAGTTCAAAATACACAGAGTGTAGTGTATGAAGTGCTGCCGCCACAGGTGAAAATTATTTTATGAGTCCAAGAAGTTTGTCAACCTAAAGGGCTCACGAGACCTGACATTTGATTCCCGAAAAAAAAATAGAACCCTTCTCACCAGAAAAAGGGTCTCAATCTTGGCTACGGCCCTGCGCAGCACGGTGCCCATGTGGTCGCCAACTCCGGCCAGCAAGATGCCGAACATGGGAATGCCCACCAGGGCGTAGCACACGCAGAACAGTTGGCCGTACCACGTGCGAGGAGATAGGTTCCCGAAACCTAGAGGAGGGTAGACGAGGGAAGTCACAAGGACATAACGGCTGGGATGTTGGTAAGGTGTCACCCTTTATGAGCTGTCCACTGTAGTAAGTGTTGTCCCTGAAAGGGTTCAGCGTGCCTATGGTGGTGATGATGGCGCCGCAGAAAAAGAAGGCGGAGGCCACGTCCCAGCGTGTGGTGAAGTTGGTGGACAGGCTGTCCACCTCCAGGCCCGCTTCCACCGCAGATGCAACTCCCTGGGTGACATACACAAAACGTATAATTTCTCTCTCGCTCTCTCTAAATATAATTTAAATACAATAAAAGCTGTGGAACATCATTAAAAAATATATACCATTGAACACTTTAAATGTTTTAATACTTAAAAAAACCAAATCTAATTAAAAACAAGTATTCAAAAACAACAAAAACAATGTAATCATATGTATAACAATTAAAATCAGCAACCTTGTCTTAGCACAAACATATACAATTTATAAACACGCAAATTCAATCGAAAATAAATATATATACTGTGCATTGACACTAACCAATCAATTATTAAAATTGTGAAAATTGCCAAATACTGAATTTTGGTACATCTGGGAATGTTTAAGAAAAGGCTCAAAGTACATGGAAAAATTCATCAAATCCCAACGTTTGAGCAGACACTGCCGTTATGTCGCTTATGTTTGCGTGTGTGCGACTGACATGATGTAAGGAGGGTGCATTCACGAGTCCTCTGATACCTTCACCAGCTCGGAGAATTCTGGTTCGCTCACGCAGAAGTGATTGTTCAGGAAGTTGTTCTTGGCGGCGAGCAGCTCCTGGAACTTGTCGTACTCCTCGGATGCCTCCAGGTTCTGGAAGACCAGCGCTCCCATGCCCAGGTACAGCACCACACCAAATAAGAGGGCCAGGACCGTGGTACAGCGCATGATGTCCACCCCCCCACCGGGGTTAGAGGTCGGGGGATGTGGCGACGCTCGCACTCAGGATACACTTGGGGCACAGCTGGTCATAAACAGGAAGTTCCTTTTAGAGGCCGCTTTACGTGTAAACATGCAACACGGGTGCTTTTGGCAGGCTGACTTATTTATGCGCGTGTGCGTCACACCAGCGCCGCACTGGCAGGAAGCCGAGTCCAATAAGGATGTTCCCATGAACGCTAGGTGAGAAGTCACACATTGATGATGTCATACCGATATGGAAATTTCACCCCAAAGTGAACTCTCATCTATTTGGACTTCAGTACAGACAAATGCACCTATTGATGTTTGTTTTTTTCTGTGAAACCGAAGCCATAATAGAAAAATATGTCATGTAAAACCCTTCTTTGTGTCTTGATCTCCTCTTTGTGGCTCCTCTCACAAGCCTAATAAATACACTTTAAGGCTGTCAACTGCATCATCTGGGGCGGCCATTTTATTGTGTACTGCCACTTGCTGTCAACTGAAAATGACATCACACCGTCTCAGGCAGGAGTGTGAAACTCATTTTTGTCGCGGGCCACATTGGAGTTACGGTTTCCCTTGGAGGGCCGTTATGACTGTGAATTTTGTAAAAATTGTAAAAAATGTGTAACCACCTCCACATATTACATACACAGCGAACAACAAATACATGGATAACTAGTTTCGACATCAGAAGTCAAGAATAATGGATCGTTTGAACATTGTAATCATTACGTTGTATATAACAATTGAAATTTTGCTTCAGACTTTAGCATGCATCAGTGAAGTTAACATGCTTAAATTGCTTTCGCGGGCCACATAAAATGATGTGGCGGGCCCGATCTGGCCCCCGGGCCTTGACTTTGACACCCGTGGCCGAATGGCTCAGGTTGCAAATGTCACACGACCAAACCCAGAAAACTTGGTTCAGCTTCAGAAAACAGGTGAGCAGTGATTGGTCGTTGCCTGAGCCCTCCGAGACTGATGTCATTTCCGGTTGACGTGGCAAAATGGCCGCCGCCTGAGACTGATTGAAAATGGGTGGATTTTTATGCTTAATTCATCTTCCACAAATGCAATATCAATCAGAACACAACGGTTAGCGTAGTAGGGATGCACAGAACATAATATTGCAAAGAAAAATTTTTAAGCATATATTCGTGATAGCGAGAGGAGCTTCAAGGAAGAGCTGCGCGCCAGGACATGAGTAAGTGAATTTACGCGGCATTTTCGACTAAATTGTAAATTTGAGCGTGAATGCTTGTTGGCTTGTTTTTTATTTTGTTTTTTTTCCTTTGCACATTCCCAAAAATGCTGGATAGGTTCATAGGCAATTCGAAATGGTCTATTTGAATTATTATTATTATTGTCTACGTGTCCTTCGATTGACTGGTGACCTGTCGGGGTGTAGCTTTCTTCTCACCCAAACCCAAAGTCAGTCCAGGTCAACCATGACCCCGATGAGGATAAGAACTATAGAAAAATGGATGATTGCTAATCACATTCTGTTTGCATTTCCTCGGCGAGGAAACTCAGGATTTGTTCGAAACTTCCTTTAAAGATCCGAGATAGCACTGGCATTGCCCGTTGATTCATTTTGCAGGTGAGCGATTTACGTTAAAGCCTCCATGGGAGCCTTCTTTTTTCTCACACTATGGTTCGGTTTCACAATGAAAAGACACCAGCCAACAGAATAGTAAACTACAGTGGGAGGAAGCCGTTGTGACGCGTTGGTCACGTAAGACAGTGATTCTCAACCTGTGTGCTGCTGGAATTGATCCAATTTCACATCACTGGTTGGAAAATTAGGTGCAGTATTTACAAGTTTCCCCTGCCATGACGTGCTTAATACCATATTTGTTTTATACTGCTTGTAATTAGTTTACAACAGGTCTTGATTTCCTCCAAGCAGTATAAAAGTGGCCTCAACGAGAAAGCGTCTTTTTTTGCTCAGTGGGACAAAGATCTGACAGTCATCCGCATAGCATTGGAAGGAAATACCATGTTTCCTTAAGATGGAACCCAGCTGTCAATCAAATGCCACTTATTTGACCTGAAAAAACAGCTGCTACTTTGTCAGACGTCTTTCTTATGCCTACACATATCTACATGTATGAGCCATGAAAATAAGTCTTTTCCACCTTTCCACGGCCGCAACAACAAGGCACACTAAAGCTACACTGAAGTTCTGTCCAAACAGACTTTCAAGGCATAAGAAAAAAACTATTCTTTGCTATTCCACCTTTAACAGTGTAACATGCGCACACTCATGGCAAACAATGAGGCGCTCAGTTGAGTACTACATAGTTCATAATTTAGACTGTGTAATGTCGTTCGAAACAAATCTATGTTTAAAAAAAAAGTGGGGCCTCTCCCTATCACAGATTTTTGCATGTGGCTTCGGAACAATCCTGAGATAAATGGGAAAAGGGGGGGTGTCATCTATATATTGAACGATTGAGATAGACAATTGACAAAAATATTGTCATGAACAAAATAAAATAAAACATTTTTAGATAAGACAAAAAAAAAACTACATCTTACATTTATAACATTACCGGTAACTAAAATGTAAGTATAATGATGCGAATGTGTCTTCGTCTTTGTCAATATCTTACATGAGCCTTTGGGGTTCTTCTGCTACAGTATGTATTTATGTTGGTATTGTTGTCTGTCTGTACAGAAGAAGGTAAGTCAAAGAAAGGTTGTTTGAGAATTGTAGTTTACTGTATGGTACTTTATTACATAATACTTGACCTTTTTTTTCTTAATCTTGTACCTGGCAATACTCCATATTTAAAGGGAAAAAAATAATAGAAAGACTAATAAAAAATAAACTAAAACAAAGCATTTTTGAAAAAATACAAACCAATAAAAACCTGCAGTAAAAATAACAATTTTCATAAAAAAACAAACAAAAAAAAAACAAAAGTCAAAACAAAATGAAAAATAACTATCACGGAAAATCCCCAAATATTGTAACTCTGCGAGTGACAGACCGAACAACAAAATGCTCTCCCACTAAGTGGCACAAAGTCTATAAATATCCCGTATCCACATTTTGTGACATTTTAGCTGCGAGATATTTTCACCCCCAATGTTAAAAAACATGCCTTAGTTGAACAAAGGCTGACCAAACAGGACTACAGACGTCAATGAAGAAATTACTACCTTGAGGCTCCGAAGTCAGCAGTTCATCCCATGTTAGGTCAGCTGATGAGCTCTGTTGGGCTTCGCTGATGACCTTCAACAAAACAAGATTCCATTGGACGTCAGCACATTCAAAGACTTCCAACGCGCCTGACAAACACAAGACTAGTCTTTGTCACGGGTGTTTTTAACTAAAGACTGCGAGCCGCTACATGCTGCACGCTGTGACATTAAAAGCGAAAATTATCACCACTCTGAACTGTGTTTGCCTCACCAAAACAACTCCCTTGTCTTGGTCTCCCACATGGTCCCTTGACAATGTCCTGACATATACCAGAGTTTACACACTGTTAGTTTTCGGCGCTAATGGGGCGGGCCCGCCTTTTGCTTGTACAACTGTGACACGAGTTATCACTGTCCCAAAACAGCTCTTGGTTGGCAGAGTTTGGCATGGTTCTTTTGTTGGGAACAGCAGTGAGCAGTGAGCTCATGTGAAAGATAAACAACGGAGCAGGTGAGCCGGCGCGCCAAATCATGAAAGAAGCACGGGACTGAGGGGACACGTGCACGTGACAGGCATACAGCGAGTAAGGCAAAGTTCAGATTTTTTTTTTTTTAGCACCTCTGAAGGCTTACAATAAAGACTTAACCATAAATTGCAAAATTGATATTTTGCTTCGACTGGATTCCAGTGTCCTCACTTTGCCTGGTTGGTCAGAACTACATCATTAATTTCCACGAATAAAAAGCAGAGGGGGATAATTTTTTAAGTTGTAGTCATATTAAAAAATAAATAAATAAATAAAACTCAACTATGAATGTAGAATAGCACTACAGGGGTACCTCTACTTACGAGCGTCTCTTCATACGAAATTTTCAAGTTACAAAACGCCTCAGCAGGAAAATATTGCCTCTAGTTACAAAGAAATTTCAAGATAGGAAAGGTAAAAATACAACATGGACTGCTACTCGCAGCTCCGAGTTTCCTGAACGCAACATACTTCTACCTGCTCTGCCATTGGCTACTACCGAGCATCATCCTGGCATCCCATTGGCTAAGAGGGACCTCTACCGTATGTGTCGATGTGTGTAGATGGATAAATAGATATGTGTCTATGCAGCGTCCTCATCATTCGCCCCTCGGGCCATGAAGCGTTCCGATAGTTTTACAGAAATGTGAATCACCCAGAAAAAGTGTTCACCAATCGGGCGAGCGCTCACGATGCTTTCTGTCTGCCTGGGACATTTTCGAAGGATTGTTAAAAGTTGACAAAAGCAAATGTCCTTGGATCAGTTCATTCCAAAACGCCAGGCAAAAACCACTTCTGAGAAAGAACATGAAACTAAAGGGGGCAAAAAACAATGAGGATGTAGTTAAGTTAAATGACCATCATTTTAATTTTTTACTCTGTAATTTTTTTTTTTACATTTTGCCCAACTCTCATTTATTGTGCAATAATCTAATTGTAACATGTATTTGTTACATATTTTGATGCATTTTTATGCTTTAGGAAACATTTATGTCAGATTTTTTTTTGGGGGGGGGGGGGGGGCTACTTATAACATTTTCTAGTTAAGAAATGTCTTCCAGAACCAATTAATTTTGTAAGTTGAGGTACCACTGTATGTGATATGCACATTCACATTTCATGATTTGAATGTTGACAATCTCTATCAAGCGTCAATGTGCAATAGAACTATTGTGCATACATATTATGCATATCAAGTCAAACACATATCAGTCAATAATCTTCCACTTTACACTAGTTGTACAAATATAACTGGAGCACAATTAGATGATATTCACGTGCAACATTTTAATATTTCAGTTTTTTTTCTTGTTTGGACCAGATTTCAATGTCTTTGAATTTCTTCTTAAAGGGTCTTTTTGTTTCTTTGTTATTAATGCTAGTATTATGTGTGACAACTGCCACTGTGACAATTTAATTTCCCTCAGGGGATGGATAAAAATATCGACGCATTTATTAATCTATCTTGCCGATGATGACAGACATGCAGGTTGAGGGATTCCATTTAAAACTTAAATTGGTTCTGATCTTTATTATGCTAAAACACAACACAATAACAAGCGACGTATGGAAAAAAATCAAAGCATTTACAAGATAATAATACGGCTTGCTGCTTTGCTTGTGCAGCGGCAACATTTTTGATACAACTTCATTCGTTGTGCAGATGTCAAAAAGCGAAACTCAGGGGCATTTCATTTTTTAAATGCCACTTCGAGAAAACCGCAATGTGTTTCACCAACCGCATGTGCTGTGCAACTCGCATATTTTGAAACACTATCAAAACAACTGATCACTGTGTCCACTAAGCCGCAGAAGATGGATAAGACCATCTGTGGACAACAACTTAAACGCATTTAAGAGTTCTGCTTTCCCTTCATTCCTCTGCGATAAGACAAAGTGAGAAAACATGAATCTCAAAACTAACATTGATGACCACATGAATGAATGAAAGAAAATCTCCGCCGGGGTTAACGCAGTCTTACCTTGACTTTGGTAAAACTTGAATCCAGCGTGGCCCAATGCAACGCGTGTGCCACTCTCCGTAGTGTAAACGTGCATGTGTGTTTTTCTCCTTGGAAGGTGTTTTCCCCATTCTTGTGACCCTACATCACTCTGAAAGGGGGGAGAAGACTGGAGGAGGAGTAAGGGGACATTACAGGATCCGCCATTTCCTGAGATGGATATATATGTGTGTGCGTGTGTGTGTGTGTGTATTTATTGGGAGGGGTGTGGAAGAGGGGCCGGCAAACCAAAAAAAAAAGTGACACTTGGCTCGTCCAAGGGAGAGTTATGGCTGATGAAATAAAACAGCGAGTGAAGTTCCAAGGCCAAATTTAGCAACAATGTGAAGATTATGTGAATAAACCTCAAAAAATGGAGATGGGAACATGAGGCAAAAAAAGGGAAGTAGGCAGTCATAAATGGGGGCGGAAATGAGCCGTTTGATCAAGATTATTCTAAATACTTTGTAGGCGCCATCTCACAGGACTCAGTCGAAGGCAGCGGTGAAAGGATCAAACTTGAAATACGCGATTGCAATTGGCTAAATTGTATCCTGCTGGACAGCTTTGAGTCCTTTATGATGTACGCGCACTTTGAAATAAGTGGCTCAACAGGAAAAATATCACACTCTGGTTATTGTTATGCAGACACAGATTCAAAAGGACAGTTGAATAATACAAATGCTATTAAATGTATAGTTAAACAAAGATCCAAACCTTTTTGTTTGCAAATTTTTGGGGGAATACTAATGTATTATGATGAGGTCAAAATGTCTGTGACTTTGTTTCAGCTGTTTAAAAAGCATGATGCTACATTGTGAGAACGATAGAATTGATTATTTATGTATTCACAACAAGTACAGTACATATGTTTCTGTCTTTTTATTTGGAACATCACTTTTTTGAGGAGGGTGGGGGGGGGGGGTTGATTTTACCCATAATGTACAATTGGAGCATAGTCTTGCTACATAGTAGAGGAGTCAGTGTATTACAATGGCGTTTTTGACAAGAAAATCATGCCATTTAAAATGTGTTCCAAGATTTGAATTGTTTAATAACATAACTGCCTCAGTCATTTTTAAACTTACTGGTACCAAATCAACCCCCCCCCAAAAAAAAACATTGCTAAAAATTACAAGTATTATTCACTGGAAAACGTTTAAATATGACAAACAAACAAACACTAGGAGGCTAACATATTCGTGCACCCTCCTGTTGTTTTGGTTTCTTTCAAAAATGTTCACAGGTCAAAGTCACCCAAGTCACATTTGAACACAAAAACAAACAAATAAAAATGTTTTTATTGTGAAGATTTTCTTCAAAATATTTTCTTGGCCTTTACATTGTAAAAAGGCACAGTTGGAATTGTGTGTGTGTGTGTGTGTGTGTGTGTGTGTGTGTGTGTGTGTGTGTAAACGTTGCAAATTAATCTAGACTGGCCTTCACAAACACCCAAAAAATGGCTGTGGTCAGGGGAAATCATATGCGTGTTTGCCAATACAATCTCATGAAATTCCGAGTAATCAATGTTGCACATTCAAGGAATGAGTTCAGATGTTGGACTGTGAAATTTTTAATTTTGGAATAAATTCACATGAAGAGTCAACAAGATTCACAAGCAGATCCCTTCTTCACAATCACGAACAAAAAGACAACACATCCCACAGAGGGCAAGGGAAAACGTGCGAATGTGCGCGCACGCGTGCTGACATGACTTGAGTCAATGGAGTAACAGTTCAATCTATCTTTGCAAAACAAAATAAAAATAAGCGAAAAAAAAATATTTTTTTAACACGTACATCAGAGCAGCAAAGCCTTTAACTAAAGTGGTCAAGTCTTCGAGGGAAGCGCGCTAAACTTGGACAACAACCCTTTCACAACACAACATATCTGATGATATTGAGCAGCTTGTGCTAATAAAACACAAGAGTTGGCTTTCTTCAACAACAGGTCGGACCGACAAGTGCATCAAAAGCAAAGCGCCAGAGGAGCTCTGGCTTGCTGTACATCACCATACATGGAGCGGAAAGCAGGTTAGCCGCCGACTGGCCCTCTACTACTCCCACACACACACACACACACACACACACACACACACACACACACACACACACACACACACACAATCCAGAAAAAGATCTGTTTAAAAACATCGCTAACCTCCTCCACACACGCTAGACTTTCACATAAGGCGTTTACCTAAACACCTGCCCTTCCTAAAACACATTCACGTGTCCATAAATAAGCTCCATGAGGAAATCAACAGCATAAATGTCACATTTTTACAACCGACTCCTTCAGCCCTGAAGGCAGAACAAAGTCATCTTCTTTTGCAAAAAAATAAAAGTCACTTCTTCACCGCAGCTGCACACCACGAGTTCATAAAAAATTAGTGAAACATAAACATAAATAATGTCTTTGGAGGCGGGGGGAATCTGTGGTGTAGAAACAGCAACAAATCATCACTTAATGACGTTTGGTGCATTGCTAAACATAAGTCATGACTGTCAAGACTAGAAATATGGTAAGTAAAACATCAGGCGCACAGTGGAGGTGTGCGTGTGTGTGTGTGGGTGTGTGTGTTCAAGCCCACCGGGTGCCCAGGCCATCCATCACTGGCGATCATTTCCACCAGTGATTGCACATGTGACCATGGAATGACTCTGAAAAATCACAACACCACCAAAGCGGTTACGTCGGCAGAGAAAGTAGGGATCAAAGAACCCCCCCCCCCACTTAAATTAACATTGTAAAGCTTTTTTTTTTAATCATACTTCATTTGTCAGTTTTTTGACATATGAGATGACAGACACTTTTTTTTGTCTTGAGTTGCAAGCCAAAAGTTGGGTGACTAGCATGAAATGGTGGCAACGTGCTTTTTTCTGACAGGCTGGGAGAGTAGGAGAACACACCGAGGCACATGGATATAATACCACTTGCAGTTCACAGTAAAAGTAAAAAAGGGAGGATTACAGTATATATTATGTATTTAATCAAAACCGCATGTGTACCTTTTACCAAGGTCTATTAGCTTAATGCTAACACATAAGGCAAAACGACAAGCTAATGAAAATAGCAGTGATGGTACAGTACTTAAAAACCTTAAAACAACTTCTATTTGACCACGAGTGGTAGCGACGCATGCTGACAGCATACATAGCAAGCCTTATGGGCATATATTCTTTATCCTCTGCAAAAAAAGCGACTTCTGTGTTCATTGTTAAAGCTACATGTAGTATGTATTATACAGCACCCTGGCTGTACACATCAGAAAAAGCAGCACAATCTCCATTCAATTATCATGATACACGGTGCAATATAATGATAATCATGGCAATACATATATTGGATTTGTTTTGGTTCTGTTCTAGGAGAATAGTCTTTTGTTTGACATTCTGATCAGCGTCTGATATGTTCAATGTTCCATACCTATGATCGCCAATCAATCCGTTTCTTCCTCCGGGTTGGCCTCCTTCTGAGTGATGGGGACAACAGCAGTCCCTAACAAGCCCCGCCTCACAATGTAGGGGCACGAAGGTCCAGTGGGGATGTCTGCAAAACCTGCACAAGTCAAACCAGGCATGCGTAATCAATTAGATGAGATCAAAAAGGAGGAGTCCATTTCAAGATGGTCAAATGTGTTATTTCTCCAATCGATCCATCTTTCCATTCTCCATATTGCCCATCCCAGCTGACTTAGACAAAGCAATAAAAGTGCTGTTATTGCATCCTGTGGCATATTGGTAACAAGAAATTATGTTGAAATGAGCCAAGGAGCATTGTTTAGACAAAAGTGGTGCTTTGCCACCATCTTGTGGCCTTTTGGTGCAAAGGAACTATGTTGAAGTGAGATAAGTAGCTTAATTTAGACAAAAGTATGGTTTTGTCACCATTTTGTGCCGTATTAGTTTCAATGACCGATGCTGAAGGGAGCTTCATTTAGATAAAAAGTTGTACTTTGTTGCCATCTTGTGGCACAGTGGCAAAGAACTATGTTGATATGAGTTGAGAAGCTTCAGTTCACAAAATTAGTGCTTTGCTACCATCTTCTGGCATTTTAGTGTAAAGAAACTATTTTGACGTGAGCTTAAGAGATTTATTTAGACTACAAAGCTTTGGTGCCAGGACACAATGTTAAAGTAAGTCGAGGATATTAATTTCGACAAAAGTAGGGCTTTGCCACCATCTAGGTGGCACCTTGGTGCCAAGGGAAGCCGTTGATGTGAGACGAGAGGCTTAATTTAGACAAAAGTAGTACGTTGCCACCACTTCCTGGCATATGTGTGCAAAGTTCGCTATGTGCAACTATGCCGAAATGAGTTGAGAAGCTTCATTTCGTCAAAATGTAATGCTTTGTTTGTGGCATCTACAGCCATTAATCTTTTTTGGGAAGCATTAATTATGGATGGATTTTTGCTATTTGCTTTACTTTGTGCTACAATTTTTAGACTCGTTTTTAGACTGTGGAAAGAAGCTGAAGTGTTCAGAGAAAACCCACACAAGCACGGTCAGAATACTAAAGGTCAGTGATGAATTTGAACCCCGAACTTCAGGACTGTGAGACAGACGTGTGAACCATTCTTATACGGTGTTGCTTGTTTTTTGTTTTTTTTTCCCCTTCCCAGCTGCAGATTATATATAGACAAAATCGTACCTTTCATGACAACTTCCGGGAGACCGTAGGGTTCATATTCGGTGTCGTCAAAAGCGGCAGACAGCTGCGTCCTGTTTCGCCGTATGCGCTCCGCCAGACGCACGGGGTCGGCCGGGATGGGGAAGGAAGAGGAAAAGAGCATTTTGTCGCCCGTCTTTCGCCCCGCAGATGGCGCAGCTTGAGGTACGTGAGGGGAAGCGTCGTCTAACTCTTCCCCGTCGATCTCGGTCCCAGCATCAGTCTGCGTGTGCACGCAGTGGCACTGAGGTGCCGACTCAGTGCCACCAGGGCACAGCTGCTCAGTTTGAGTGCTAACACTTATGGCCGGGCAGTCAGTGCTTATGCTCAAGTGTTTGGTCGCTGTCCAGCCACTTGAGTCGACATCGGAAGTTTGCGCAGAGACTTTGCTGACGTGTTTCTGAGCCGTTTGTTGATCGGACAGCTTGTGTGGGCTTGAGCACGGTTCTGACGGCTTTGGGTCCTTTTCTGATGGCTAAATCACAAGAGAATGTTGGCATTGAAATCACCTGACTGTTTTGTTTTTATCAGAGGCTAGTAGGAGAGATGACACATTTTGCTGAGAGCATTTCTTAAATCAGGGGTGGGCAAACGATTGTGCTGAAGGGACACATTTCACCTTTTTTTTTTAATGACAGCAGATGAGGGGGAGGGGGGGTGTTAAAATGTATCAGCAAAATAGTTCATTGTAGGATTGCTTAGAATAAATTCCATTACAAATAAAATTGAACAAAATGTACATCTTTGACTAAATTATTAAGTTTATGTATTCTTTTCTGAATATATTTATGGCATCAGTTAAAATAGAACAATTACTTTATGAGCAATATGAAAGTTAATTTTAATAGTAATTCAATTCTCTCATTTTGTAAGCTTTGTACTAAGAATTAATCAACCAATCAATCATTTAATAAAATAAATACTAAATCGCTAAATATCGCTAAATGTGCATACAGTATGCATATTTTGCAAATACATTTATTGTATAATTTATAATAAAGCCATCATTTAATGAGAAGCATGAATGAAAATTAAAAAATATTTTAGTTAACCAATTTGGGGGGAAAACAGCAAAATTCGTCGTGACAACATAAACGCTCAGTGGGCTGAATTCAACAATTAAACGCGAACAAAACATCATTCATTCAATATAATTAGAGAATTCAGAAAGCATTCAATGTTTTAATCATGTAATTCATGGAGTTTAAAGTTTGTATTTTATTTCAGCTAACATTTAGTCTGAGAGTTATAAACCATTTCTTCTTTTCTTTTAGTAATTAAGATACTTTTTATTACTTTGTTTTTAAATGTCTTAAATTATTTTTGGAAAGCACATTGAGTTATCGTATGATATGTAAAGCTGCCTTTGCGTAAAAAAAGGTTCATTTGAATTGGAACACTTTAACAGTGGACATTTTCCATACCACCAATAAAGACCTGGATTATAATAACACATCTTTTGA